CTTAGGAAAAGGCCTAGAATAGTTCCAAGACACAAACAAGAATCAAGCAAACTTTACGGTTCAGAAGGGAACTTCCCAAAGGACTTGGAGGGCAAGTTATCACCAATTACTTAAAATGAAAAAAACAGCATCACTTTCATACTTGTGATTTTAAGCAGAACTGAATGCTAGTGGGCTATAGGAGAGTAAGTGTATTAGGTTCACATCAGGATAATAAAATATCTGACACAGGTTACTTGGGTAAGAAAGATTATTTTGGATCATGGTTCTGGAGGTTTGAGTCTAAGATGGGTGGCTCACTGACTTAAGCCTCTGATGAGGGCACATCATGGTAGGAGCAGAGGATAGAACAAAAGCTTATATCTCACACCAGGAAAGGGGTTGAGGGATGGGAAGAGAGGGAGGACTGCCTACAGTCCCACAGTCCCTTGTGAGGATAAGCCTCCAATAACCTAACGAACAACCTCCTACCACCTAAAGGTTCACAGCATCTCTCAATACTGTCACTCTGGGGAATCAAACCTTTCCATATAGGTCTTTGGGAGGGAGGTGCTCACTGAAATCATAGCAACTCAAATCATATACCTAGATAATTCAGTCAATTCTGTTGCTGACCTGAATGTGGATGAATATCTTCCCAAAATTTCACCTCAGAACTAGATGACAATAATTGATCATCAAATTTAATTGCTTCTTGAGGCCACACCTAAAAGCTGATAATAAAACCTGTCAGTAGAGTCAAAGAGGCTTGTATTCCCATTTGCTTGTTAGCAGTGTATCTTCTTTATTAAATCATGGAGATAAAAGTTAATGAAGAGACCTTAAGGCTACTTAAAATGTACCAGTTACATGACAACTAAATGCAATTTGCGATACTACACTTGAAAAATCAACAAAACTGCAATGTAGACTGAAGATTAAAGTTTTATATCAATGTCACTGAATCTAATAACTGTACTAATGATATGTCAGACGAGATTTGTTCTTAAAAATGATAATGTATCAAGAGGTAAAGGAGCATGTATATGAATCCCACTCTCAAATGAAACAGGAAAAAATAATCTAGACAGAATGATGAAGCAAATGTGAAATGTCAATAATCAGCCAACCTAGTTAATCTAGAGGATATGGAAATCTCAGTACTATTATCTGTAAGTTTGAAATTACTTCAAAATTAAAGGTTAATAAAAGAACAAGCTGAACTTAAACTTACTAATGCCAAAGCTTTAGTAATGTTCATACTCCAGCTATTGCTATTGCTATGAATAATAAAGTCTCATGTTTTCTGCCACCATCTCTGAACTATGGTAGGTTAACATGTAAATTAAAATCACAGACCCTTCAGTTCTTGACACGAAGCACTTTCTGTAATATTATCTTAACAGAACTTTTATCTTTTTTTCACCCCTGTGTACACTGAGAATTGAACCCAAAGATGCTCTAAAACTGAGCTGAAATCTCCAGTTTCCCCTCCTTTTTTTTTTTTTAATTTATTTTTATTTTTTGACAGGGTCTTGCTAAATTGCCCAAGTTGGCCTTGAACTTGCAAGCCTCCTGCTGCTGTTTCCTGAGTTGCTGGCTTTATGCCACCTTGCCCTACTTCATTAAATCTTATCAATAGCCCTAAAGTTATGCAAAACACTCCATGTTACAAGCATTCCATAAATAGTAGCTAACACTTATATCACCATACTATTAATTTTATGTAACAATCCATAAACTCATAATCAACACCATCATCTTACAGCCATCAGGTTAATTTGCCAAGAGTTTGTCACCCAAGTGATAGGGCTGGAATTTTAGTTCTTTTCACTATTACCATGTCATCTCACTTTAAAATCATGAACTCATACGGTGAAATTATAGTTTTTATATTATATCTCAATATATATTCTCATATTCATTCTTCAGGTATGTATATCTTCTATGTTCCAGGCACTTTGCTGAGGTGGGGGAAATAACAATGAATAAGAAGTGTTCTCTGTCTTCAAAAAATATTATAGAGGAAATATACATCAAAACAAAATAATTACTCACTTATAATGTTATTATAGAAGCAAACAAGGGACTGAGATGGAGAACTGGAGGATATACTCTTAAATTATATGTTATCAGCTGGGAATAAATCCAATGAGTTCCAACTACCATTTTTGAAAAATGAAGTAGTATAAAGTAAAAAAAGTGAACACGTACACATTATAAGTACTGTTTGTTAAACCTTTATCTTGCGAAATGGGTTATGGCATATGCAAAGTGCATTTCTTTTAGACACAGGGAATAATCTATGCAATGAGAATGAAAAGACCTTGGTGGGTTAAAGAGATAGAAAATAACATTTTGGTTAGACCTTACAGAAAGAATAGAGAGGCGTGAATTTAAAAAGATGTTTAAGTTCTGGTGTAGAGTTTGTGAAATGTAGAAGGATAAGTAGTAATATGATTTGATTTACATTTTAAAAGTCACTTTTTTGATATATGTAAAATGGATGAAAGGGAGGAATAAATAGAAACAAACCCATAAGAAGTCAGTGTAGATAATGGTGGCTTGGTTTGGGATAGGGAGAGGAAGCAGCAGTAATGGGAAAGACTGTTTGGCTCCAAGATGTATTTCCGAAGTTAAAACTAATAGAACTTGCTGAGGTGAAGTATAATCTAAATTTTAGTCATATCCAAATACTCTGGTTGCATGAATATACCTGCTTTCCATATGTCAGTATGTCTGCACCCTCTCTTCTTAGAACACCTACACCTTGCCAACCTCCTATTCACTTGGCACACTGCTACTCATTCTCCCTTCAAGATGAAGCCCCAGCATCTTGTTTTCCACAAAGCCTCCCCTGACATAAAGCCTTCTTAAGTTCTCTTTTGCATATGTTTCTAATATAGTGGTTACAGAGTGCACTGCAATTATCTGTTCACATCTGTTCCCCAAGCTGGTCTGGAGCCACTCCAGGGCAGAAAACATTCACTTTCAACTTTGGGATAGTTGTTAGAAAACTCTAGACTCATTATTCAAAGTCTGCTGAATAGTTGTGTCATAGCATATAATATTTCCTTCATTCCTCAACTAGCAAAGAGCTCCTCATTTTTATTTATCCTCAACTTTTACTCAATCCCTCAAATACTCCATATTCAGATAAATACATATTTGGTTAATTTATGATGCCATATATATCCATAAATTCTTTTTTTAAATATTTTTTTCGTTGTCAATGGACTTTTATTTTATTAGTTATATATGGTGCTGAGACTTGAACCCAGTGCCTTACACATGGTAGGCAAGTGCTCTACCACTGAGCTACAACCCCAGCCCGCACAAATTCTTTTTAGTGACTAGATTGTGCTTCTTGATTTCACAAACTAAACAGCAATTTATAGAAAAAAATGGTTTTTAAATTAGACAGATTTCAGTTCAGAAAATCACTTTAATTTACTATCCACGTGGCCTTGGGTAGGTTACTTAATATCTCTAGATCTCAATGTGTTCAATTACATAATAATATTATGTAAATTACACCACAGGGTTACCATGGGCTTAAAAAAGTCATAACTATTTATTCCCATCCTCCATCTTACCTTCTTTATGAGAAAGAATACAACCTTTGCAAAACTAAAAACAATTATGTTTCTGATCATAGCACTATTTTGACCTGTGGGTTGAGAATACAAAGCATCTACTGAATACTGAGGACTCAAACTACCTACCTCAGAGATAGTTTACTCTCTATATTAACATCAGCATAATGTAACAGTTCTGGAGACTGCTGCCTAAATAACTTGATTGTTCACAGGAGCTTTATGGAAAATCTCAGTTCTTTAATAGAAAGCATCTTTATGTTGTAAGAACCCTTGCACACCTTGCCCTGCTCTTTCCACCAATGACCAACTGTTTTATCAAGATCAGTATCCAGTTCTAATTGAGCCTTCAGACCGAATCCCCTCCCATACTCTGCTGCTGAAAGATCAGCCTTATCCCATACATCAGATTCTCAATAAATCTGATCTTGCTTTTCCAATTTAGGCACTAGGAGCGGTCTGATGAGGTGGTGTTTTGCCTTACCCCAGCAAGCAATAAACTCAGCTTTGACTTATTAAAAGGTGGTATTAGAGGAGCTAGCAAGGGACACAGCAGTACACCTATAAGCTTGAAGACAAAGACAGAAGGATTTCCCCAAAATGCCTACAAACAGTGAAAATGCGCTAAAGTAAATTACATACCAGGCAAAATATGCCATTAATAAAAAGGAAATGACTTTGTCAAGGCCACATGGAAACTTTCCTTGCAACAAAATTACAATGATATTCAGTGAATTTTAAAATTTCTTTTTAATAAATTCCAGATTTATTCTGCAGTTTTTACTCATCAATGCCTCCAAATCAAAAAGGCACAGTCTCATTTACTTTTGGGATTTACCAAAATATTTCTAGGGTAAATTGTCCTAACTTACTGCAAGAGAAACAACAAGCTTTTATGCTAGATCCTTTTGATAGCAATTCAGATCCATTATCAACTTCACTAAGTGTGTGGAGCATTCATTTCTTTGGTGTTTAATCATGGCTACATTCTATCCATGTAGTGCATCACCCAAGTAAAACATGGAAAAACGTGGATTGAAGGGGGGGGCGGCTGGGGTTGTAGCTCAGTAGTAGAGCACTTGCCTAGCATGTGTCAGGAACTGGGTTCAATCCTCAGCACCATATAAAAATAAAATAAAGGTTCATCAACAACAAAAAAATACATTTAAAAAAAAAAAAAGGAGCGAGGGAAGCAACAAGTACCTTTCAAAGTTTACTTTTCACAATGAGAAAACGATCTCTGCCTTATTCCTGACCCTCCACATGACTCGCCTCTGCACTTCGAGAGAAAAGGGAATGAAGCTGCAGAAACAAACAGAGTTTCGCGGAACCGACCCTCCCACTGAGTGACTGGCCGCAGCTGCTAATGAGCTTGGGGTCCCTCGCCTCGCGGAGTCCCTGTTCCGCCCGCTCCGGGATCCGTACCTGGCTGGCAATAGATCTGCGGAAGCCACACGCCATGTCTGGCTCTGGCCTCGCTCCTCCCTTTTCTGAACGCCCCGCCTCTGCACGCCGGAAGCCAGCCCCGGACGGCCACGCCAGCTAATCAAGGAGCCAAACAGCCCGCCTTTAACCTTTGCCCCGCTGCCGCGAGGGCGCGCGGGAAATCCTGAGTGTATCCGCAACCTGCCGGGCGGTAGGACCATGGCCACGTCCTCCGTGTCCAAGGTACGTCTGGGCGGGTGCTCACCCAGGCCTCACCGCCGCCTCATTCCTCTTTGGAGAAGGGATTTAGTGGAGGTTATGCAGGCCTCTCTGTTCCCTGGCTCCATGGGAGGGAGAGGCAGACAGTTCGGGCGTCTTTGCCTCAGGTTTAGTTGAGGCCAACTTTGGGGAACGAGGTCGCTGATCTGCCTTGCAATGCAACCAGAGTGGGCTTTTAAGTCCTGATTCGTGGAGGTCGGATGCCCAGAGAATGTGCCCCGTTCTCCCCTACTTTTTCCTTCATGTTTACTGTTGCGCCAAAGCACTCCGCTAGGTACCGAGATACAGAGGTAAACAAATTAGACTTGTTCCTGCACTTAAGAGAGACACTAACAGGCTGATGATCACTTGTGAAAGAAAAAAGTTCTGAGTGAGTTGGACGAGAGAGAAGAACCTAATATAGATTGTTAAGGGTTGGCGAAGACTTTTTGGAGAAACTGACACTTTGGCTGAGACCTACAAAAAAATGACTAGAAGTTTGTCAGGCATGAGTTTTGAGGAAGGAGAACAGAGAGAACATGTTTCTTTGGCGGTGGGGGGGAGGGAGGGCAGGGAATAGACAGCAAAAAATAAAGTATTGTAAAGAAATTGCAAAGTCAGTGTCATCAAAATTGGAGAAAGCAGGAACATTAGGGAAAATGAGATTGGAAAAGTAATGCAGGTGTGGGGGCGGGATCATATAGACCTCCTTCATATGGTAAACCTAGGTGGTAAGGGTTTGCAAGTCAAAATGTAGTGGGCAAGAAGATAGATTCTGGAGTTGTATTGTCCTGTGAAGTATTCACTAGCCACGTGTGGCTAAATTTAAATTTAAAGTAATATTTAATTTAAAAATTCAGTTTCTCATTTGTACTACCACATTTCAAGCACTTAATAACTGCATGTGACCATGGCTACCATGTCAGAACAGATACATGAAGTTTCTGTCGTTTTGTTTTTTAACCTCTAAGTACTTTCACTTCTCTGTCATATTATGATGTTTTGTGGCTGTTGCCCTCCTTCTAGATTTCTTCCTTCATATCTAACACCATCACTTTACTAGCAGTTCAAAGTGATTAACCATATTACTACCATTGCCTGATATTAGAATCCATTCTAAGTACTCTTCCTATCTTGCTTCTTTAAGAGCACCTTTCCTTTACTGTATTGTAGGTCCATATGGAAAGGATGAAATGACAAGCTTGTCATTATACCATATGGTTTTTCTAAATATGTATATTTCTTTTTTTTTTAAAGAGTTCACAATGCTATATAATAGTAGGCACTATTTTTGTTCCAAACACCAAGACATTTTTTTTTCTTTTTTTAGAGAGAGAGAGAGAGAGAATTTTAATATTTATTTTTTAGTTTTCGGCAGACACAACATCTTTGTTTGTATGTGGTGCTGAGGATCGGACCCGGGCCGCACGCATGCCAGGTGAGCGTGCTACCGCTTGAGCCACTTCCCCAGCCCTAAAAATGTGTATTTCACATAGCTCCACTAGTTGCAAAAATAAGAACATATGGCACAGTTTTAAATTTGAACCTGGAATCCAAATGGCCACTTTATATTTTGCACAGTTATCTCCTACACTATCCTGAGATGACTTTGTAGGTAAATTTCTTTTATTCTTTTTTTAATTTTCCATATAAATGAAATCTTTAAGAAGGTATTTATAAAGTGTGACTTTAGGATTGGTAGTATACACTAGGATCAGTATATTATTACATTAGACCAGTGGTACATAATTCCAATGAATATAGTTATGAAATTGCCAGGAACATTAATTTGCAAACATTCATTCCTTCTAAATACTGACTGCCTAATGTACATGTTAGCACTATTCTAAATATTGAGGAAATAATTATAAATAAAATACAGTCTTTATTCTGAAGATGTTCACTATTTACTTGGAGAGATACACCCCAAAATAATTGATTTACAGTGAAAGTGATTCAAAACAAAGCCAAATGAAGATGTTAAAGTACTGTGAGATCTAAGGAAAGGAACATTTCTCACTAGGGACTTGGGAAAGGTTTCACAGACAAGGTTAGTTTTGAGTCAAACTTTAGTGGATAAATTAATAAGACTTTTATTGGTTGAAGAAAGTTGTAGGATGAAATGGTAGTCAGAGTTTTCTATTTGTTTGTCAAAGTTCTAAGTACTTAGAGTTTAGTTAAATAATAAGGACTTCTTTTGGAATGGTAAAGTGCTACTGTTGTACACAGGGTCTTGTGCACATGCTAGGCAAGCACTGAGCCACTGAGCTATATCCCAGCCCTACTTTCAATTTTCTTGATCTTCATCTTAATGTTATTTCTCCTCTTGTAATAAGGTCTTAGAAGATGCTTTTACTTAAAAGCATTGACTCTTCAGTTGGGCCTGAAGGTGTCTGATGGGTAACTAAAAGGATAAATTGTTAGGAATTACTGCTTTTGTTTTTCTGCCTGCCACCTTTATAATCTTGAACTTTTGGTCATATTCCTATTCAACTCTGTATAGATGTGTTAATCACTTAAGGAGTGTCCATCTGAAAACTGGTAGTACAAGGTCAGTTAGTCCTAAATTTGCCTAAAATCTCTTGGCCCTCTTCAAGACTAAAGACACCAAGATAATAGTTTCTAAGATATTTTTACGATTGTTGGACATTTCAGGAAGATTGTCCCACAATGTGACTGCACCCCCTAAGCAGAACCAGTTATCCTGTGACAGCAACTAAGTCTGCCTACAGAATAGAAGCAGTCATTTTTTAATGGAAACCAAATTGCTTCCTCAAGTAATAATGACTCCCCTGGAGTCAGCAGAACTTCACAGAACCTGAGATAATGACAAACCAGATCACAGTTTAACCAAGACTGCTTAACTGTGCATATTTACTCTTTTATACGGTCTACTGTTTAAACCTGAAGCTCATGTTAGTACCCCAGAAGACCTGGCAGAGGATACTTGCTTCCCCTTGTCTTCCCAGTATGGCTGTAATAAATAAAATTCCTTTCCTTCTTTATTGCCTTTTTCATTTGATTTTTGGGGCAAGTGACCAAACCTCACATATTGGGACTCCCTGAGATAAGGCCCCTGTGACTTAGGACACCAGCAACATAGTCTTAAATTTTATTAAAATGGAAACTTTCTGGAAATCAGTTTCATCAGCTTTTATTTCCTTTGTCTATCAGAGTAGGTCCCAAAGAGTAAACCTAAAGATCTACCAGAGCATTCCATAGGAAGAAGGATAAAGGAATGGATGGTTGTTTTAAGATTTTCCTTCTGTAATTCAGAATGACATGATGTGATTTCTTAGAACCTGAAATAAATATCTTTTATAAAAAAGCCATAAAATATTTGGTTAATCAGATTTGTCAGTTCTGTGGCTACATTGACTTTATGCTTTTTTCTTTTTTAAGGGCTGTTTTGTGTTTAAACCAAACTTCAAGAAAAGGAAGATCTCTGTGCCAATAGGTAAGGTGTCTTAACATCAAATCTCTTAGTTTTTCTTCCTCCATGTCTTTTTAAACTTTAAGAACTAAATCTAATTGAATTTAGTAATTCTCTTTTCTAAGCTTGACTGACTTAGCCTATTAATGTAAAGGTTATTTTCCTAGGCATTTGTCAAAAGATAAATATGCACCCTAGCGTTCTAATCTAAAAGGGAATGTAAATATATCTTCACGGGGCAAACTGTGAAATACATTTCTCTTGATGACTTCTCTACCATTGTTTCTTCATGCACAACTTCAGAAATGAAAATTAGCCAGGCTACCACGCCTATAATCCCAGCTGCTTGCCTGTAATCCCAGCAGTTCAGGAGGCTGAGAAAGATCACAAGTTCAAAACCAGCCTCAGCAATTTAGTGAAGCCATAAGCAATTTAGCAAGACCCTATCTCAAAAAATAAAAAGGGCTGGGGATGTGGCTTAGTGGTCAAGTACCCTTTGGTTAAAATCCCTGGTACCAAAAAAAAAAAAAAAAGAAAGAAAAATGAGCATCAGTTTATCCTAGGAAAATATTTTGGACTTTGATTAAATAATTAAATAATCAAATCAATTATAAATGCTGATTAGCAATAGATGTCTAACGATAGTAGAAATAATAGAAAATAAAATGATGTGGAAACCAAACAAAAGAAAAAGTCCAAATTTACATTTATTTTCTAGTGAAATTTATATAGGAATTATTCCTGAATTAAAGTATTTCTGAATTAAATATATGAATTAAATATAATTTAAATATATTTCTGAATTAAATTTGAACATTCTTAAAAATTTGACATGATTCATTTTATAAATAAACTTGATAAGATGAAAGAAAAGTCACATGTATGGAACACATAGTAAAGGGCTTAGTAACTACATGGGTATTAAAAAGAATGTTGTATGTTCTAATTCAGGGATAAGGGTTGTGCACACCAATACATGTTGAGGGGAAAAAAAAAAAAACAAACATGGTCTGGATTTGTTACAATAATTCTGCCAGATTATGGAAGCACAAGGTTTGGAATAACTGGGCTAGAATTAAAGAAACTTGGAGAATGGTCCTGACCCTAACTAGTTGTATGACCTTTTCATGGCTCTTTTGGCTTTCCCCAGGTCTCTTTTGTCTATAGAATGAAAGACTAGACTGGCTTATTAAGAAGTTTTTCTCTTCGTTTTTCATGCCTGTAAAACCTGACATGCAGAAGTTTGTGAGACAATAATATCTGTATTATCAGGGACGGTCACCAACTCATCCTTATAGTCATGTTCTGAGACTCCCAGACCTCAGTAGCCTGAAGGAGGGGAAAAAACTGCAA